ATTATTATTATTAATTTTAGTCTATCTATTAATAGACTTAAATTGTGACCATCCATTGTGCATACTAAGTTATTATTAATTCATTTTGCTCGTTGATTCTCTAAACAGACTTGGGGTACGGGCAGTGGTCTGTACCTATGGTACGGGCAGTGGGTCTGTACACTAAGACTGTTTGCCGATCCCTCTGGTTTCCATTGAGAAGCCAGATATCGGACGTGTTTAGTCTTTGCCTGGTAAGTAGGATTTGGAGAAAGACTCGTGCGTGCAAGGGTACGGAGTACGGAGTAGTCGGGACTGTCGGGAGGCTGCTCCGTAAACAGAGAATCTCGCTTGCACTACCACAGTGATGCCAGAATCGTGGGTAAACCGCGCGAGCGCTTACCCTCTCCATGCCTCCCGTGGGTATTTTACACAAGCATATTCTAGCCTGTCCGTGAGCTCTGCCCCCACTACGTCCTACTCGGCGACACACCAACACAAGCGTTTTCTACCTCTGTCCGTGTGCGCTCTGCTTCGGGTGTTCTCGGCAAAAGCCTACGTCACGCGTTTACGACGCGACGGCCGAGTGGCCCAAGCCAGGTCAAAAATCCCAAATCCCAAGCAACCTAAAATTTACGTCCTAAACGCGGAGAGCTGCATGATTTCTCTCACGCGTTCATGATGAAGACCCCGTCCGAAACTCCGTCCGAAACCCCGTTCGAATCCCGATGCGACGGTTTTACTTTTTATTTTTAATTATTGCATAATTTCATTTTGTAATATGTCAGTAAAATAAAAACTTCGAAGATATTGATTCAAGAAGCATTTTAAAAAAATGGGAGATGTATTTATTCCTCTTCAATATTTAAATTTTATATTACACAAATACATATTCTCTTATGTATACACAAATTATTCGTACAATTAGATGTTACCTTCATTCTAAGTATTACAGTACATACATATGAAAACATTGGAAGAAAAATCCATCACATTAATATGTTACGTACAGTAAAATGAAAGCTTGGAAGATATTAATTTGAGAAGCATTTTCAAAATCAGATTTTTTTGTTAAGCTGGTCCACGCATATGCATTTTGTTGATTTGATGTCGGTGAGCATGGATAATATGCATGTACATACAACACATCGTCTTTTCTTTTTGTCCTGTAAATAATGTCACAAGTGTTCCGTCCTCAATATGGACTTTCTTTACTCACGGTATATTAATTTCTTTGGGCGGCTAAAATGCTTCTTTCAAAATCTGGGAAATTCCTAACAACCCCTTTTGAAATAATCGGACAATAATGTATTCGGCGCGCGTATAATTGCACCTAATTCAAAGTCCCTTTACGTTAAAATGGTTTCTAAGAATACCGTCCTACTTTCCGGTATTAAAGACATTTCCAAATTATGTGTTACAATGAGCCACCGTGCAGTCTCGTTATTGCCTCCATTTACGGTAGGGTTGCCCGCGTTTCGAGCGTTTTAGTCAGATACGTTTCACCCTAAGCAACCCTATCGTAAATGGGGGCAATAACGAGACTGCACGGTGGCTCATTGTAACGAGTAATTTGGAAATATCTTTATTACCGTTAAGTAGGACGTTATTGAATTCTTAGAAACTACGGTAACGTGGACCAGCTGCAGCGGTTGTCGGAAACGCGTGCATGGATATGTATGGACTAATAAAAAAAAAAGATAAGTTTATTTTTTCTTCTATTATACCCATTCAGAGTTCAACTATGTGCTTATTTGTCTTCAAGTGTAGAAAAGCAACGAATCATTCGACATCGCATATCCGTGGACTAGCTATACAAATGCTTCTCAAATTAATATCTTCCAAGCTTTCATTTTACTGTACGTAACATATTAATGTGATGGATTTTTCTTCCAATCTATTCATATGTATGTACTGCAATAGTTAGAATAAAGGTAACATCTAATTGTAAGAATAATTTGCGTATATATAAGAGAATATGTATTTGTGTAATATAAAATTAAAATATTAAAGAGTAATAAATACATCTCCCATTTTTGTAAAATGCTTCTTAAATTAATATTTTTGAAC